TTCCAAATTTTAATCTTTATATGACTATTAAAGAGTTGCAAAAATGTTGCTTAAACCAAATAGTCTTTCACCCCTCGATATAATACTTGTTTTATATACAGCTATTGTATAATTGGTCACAACTAAAATGTATCAATGGCTAATTTGTTAGTTAGAAGTTGACAAAAAAAATTCTAATTAATGACTACGGACTGTTTTATTGAAGTGAAACTTCCTTATCGGCGTTGGAAAAAAATTTACCGTCACATTTTTCGGTTACGCGTCTCATTTTTCCGTTACGCGCCATCTTTTAATTAACGGCTGTATGTTCTGAAGTATGGATGCGCATTTGAGAAACCGACCTCATGTCTCAAGGTGGGTCACGGAATACATTTTGTAATTGCAATAATCCCAGGTAACCCACTTAATATCACGTGGACCGTGCTATTATTGTTATTACGTAAAATAATAGGAAGAAAAGTACCAGGGTATTATGATATCAAAGAGATGTATTATTATAACTTTACTCTGACGTACAGCCTTCTTTATTAATTAACGGCTGTATGTTCTGAAGTATGGATTCCGATTTGAGAAATTGACCTCATGTCTCCAGGTGGATTACGGAAATCATTTTGTAATTCCAATAATCTCAGGGAGCCCACTTAATAATATCACGTGGACCGTGCTATTTATTACTGTTATTACGTAAAATAATAGGAAGAAAAGTACCAGGGTATTATGATAGCAAAGAGATTTATTAATAATTAACGGCGGTATGTTCTGAAGCATGGTTTCGGATTTGAGAAATCGACCTCATGTCTCAAGGTGGGTCAAACTTCACGAACCTCAGGAACCCCATTTAACACCACGTGGACCGTGCTATTATTATTAATTTATAGGAAGAAAAGTACCAGGGTATTATGATATCAAAGAGATGTATTATTAAAATGCTGTAATAATCTTAGTAGCAAAAAGGTAAAGTGAAATAATTGTATTATTTGTATTCATGTCTATGATAATAAAATCCTTTTGTTTAAACTTTATCTAATTTAACTTTATTTAACCAATTTCTAGAAAGTTGCATGTAGATCATTTTTCGAAAAATAAGGCCATAAACAAGTTTCACTTCTTACGTGTGTACACTAGTACACGCACACATTTTTATTTTTTATTTGCTTCAGACGTATGTATGTAACCCAATCTTGGAACATGATTTTGACCCCCTTCAAAACGTCGGATTAACTCGAAATCTAATCTAATAATTATTAAGGGCCGATGACAATACAACATTAAAAAAAAAACTGTAAGAAAAATATTGAAATAATTGAAATTCAACTAATAAATGAAAATTAAATAATAGTTTAAAAAAACTAACAAAATACGCTTTTATAGAAAATCCAACAAAAAACTAGATTATAAATTTTAATAAATTTGAATTAAAAATAGTGTAAGAAAAAATGATTTTATTGTAAAAAAAAGCGGGGGTTGCATGGTATCAGTAGTTATAAATATTTTATGAACAGATAGGAGTAGAAGGGTTATTTTAATATCCTGAAAAGCACCACACGCTTTTTTACAATAAAATCATTTTTCCTTACACTATTTATAATTCTAATTTATTAAAATTTATTTTCTATTTTTTAGTAATATTTCTATAAAAGTGTATTTTGTTAGTTTTTTTAAGCTATTACTTATTTTTATATATATATTATAGATGTATTGGTTTAGTAAAATCGTCTTCAAATGACTTTCAACACTAATTCAGGTCAACTCGATCGGCCGACTATTCACCGCGCAACCCTTTTATAATTTTTCCATCATCTCCACTTTGTGTTCCCCACAATTTATTTGGGCCCTTTTGCCTGTATAGAATTTGCGATCCATAAATTTTAAAAGCTTATTTGCGAATTCGTAAATCACGCAAATGATTTTATGCTTCTGGATATTTCGATTTTCGCCCGAGGCTGTTTGTGATCTTTTGATTTTATAGGTAGCATGGATATACTTTTTTTTTTGTTATGTTAATGATAACCAGGATTTTAAGCACGCAAGCTTCTTGGTTTTTAAATGCGATGATTCGTTTCTGGATTCGGGACGTCTGAATAATTGTAAGTATACACACTTAGGGGCAGGGTTTTGGGTTTACATAAAAAGAAAATTGTTGTCTCTGACTTTGGGTTATGCAGTTAAGCATCACTTAAAATACTAGACTAATTTAAATAAACCATTATGCTATTCAAAGCTAAAACACTATAATAGATAGTTAAAAATCTACTACTAAGAAGACGAGCTGTTTCGATATATTGACGGATACCGAATTTATATATAATATATCCAATTAGATAACAGTTCTGAAGAGAGCAGCAACCATTTCGAAAACCTTGAAAATATTCATTCTATATTCAGTTGGTTCATTTAATATTAGGATAATACTTGGGGTGACATTTGGAGTAACAGGTATCTTCACTTCCTTAACCTTTCGAGGATTTGAGCTTAATACTTAGAACTCATGTCTCAAGGTGGGTGGCAGCATTTGCTTTGTAGATGTCTATGAGCTTCGGTAACCACTTAACACCAGTTGGGCCGTGAGCTCGTCCACCTCTCTAAACATTAAAAAAAATCGTTTTTATATAGCAATGAGTGCTACCCACTATAATATTGTTCGAAGTACCTATTACCTACTACTGTTCTATATGACATGACTGTTAGCGGTTAGGACAATTTCTTTTAGTGATAGCTGTAGCGTGCAACATTCGGTTGCACTCGGGCGTCATCGGTCGCGATCGGAGTTCCCGAACGCGCAGGTGTCCCGTGACGTCACACTGCTAGATTCGCGCGCGTTGATTCAAGTTGATTGTAAAACGTATTATAATTTTTATTTTTAATTGGTGTCTTGTAGTGCCTAGCGACTTGTTTACTCTTTTTACTTTATAATAGAACATTGTACACATATTATATTATTATATTGCTTAATTGGTGTGTTTGACTTTTATGTGTTCGGAGCATAATATCCCGAGAATACGAATAACAAACTACATAGCTTCTGAATTGTTTGAACACATCAGAGCTGTGCCCATACCAAGGTATTCACTTTCCCTTGTACACGTAGCTTAAAGCTCTCTGGTGTATAATGTAATACTTGTGATCATGTAGACATTAGTAACAACTAATGGTTTCTTACGAATGTTCAGTATGGTAATTTCGTTGAAATGTACCCACCTACCACCCTGATTTCATGCGCCTTATCACTTCGTCCAACATTAGAATTTCTTAAAAGATCATCAAATTTCTTTTGACTTTTTGGCGAGAACGCAAAGAGCGAAGTTGTGTGAATTGTTTTGTTTCGTTAATTTAGTGTTTATTCAGGTTTAAATGTGTACCTAAATAACATTTGGGTATTAACTGATTAGCATCAAAGTGAAACAAAGACGCTGGACGTAGTTTCTTACGAAAAGTCCACTGAGAAAGTCTCCATAACTACCATTTTGAATTTCATCTATTTTCATTTCATATTTAGACTTTATTTCATTNAAGTTGTGTGAATTGTTTTGTTTCGTTAATTTAGTGTTTATTCAGGTTTAAATGTGTACCTAAATAACATTTGGGTATTAACTGATTAGCATCAAAGTGAAACAAAGACGCTGGACGTAGTTTCTTACGAAAAGTCCACTGAGAAAGTCTCCATAACTACCATTTTGAATTTCATCTATTTTCATTTCATATTTAGACTTTATTTCATTGCATCGCAGCTCTTTTTTTTTATTGCTTATTTGGGTCGAGCTTACAGTGGTGAGCTCGACCCGTCCAAGCCTGGTGTTAAGTGGTTACTGGAGCCCATAGACATCTACAACGTAAATGCGCTACCCACCTTAAGATATAAGTTCTAAGGTATCAGTATAGTTACAACAGCTGCCCCATCCTTCAAACCGAAACCCATTACTGCTTCACGGCAGAAATAGGTAGGGCGGTGGTACCTACCCGTGCAGACTCACAAGAGGTCCTACCTCCAGTAACTAGCTTACATCCCATTTGATTATAGTCACATATTACTGAACCTCTTCTCAATTCTGCTCATATAATTCTTCATAGCACAGACTTTGTATGCATTTGATAATTTAAGATTTTTATAAACTCAATATTGGCAACAATGCGGTTACAAGAAGATAGTTGATAATTTAAAAAGAACAGGAATAAATGTTGATTCTGTGAATTTTTTTTGGGTAGAATGACAAAAACGTGAAACAATAAAACATCATTGCTTAGAATTTTCAAAACTTTTTATTACATTATTTTGGCAGAGGGAAGCGCGAACTTCCATTAACTAAAACTATAATTACATTTTTTTAATACTTTTTGGTACTTACACATTGATCATGAAAATCACATATTAAATTTTATAAAATTTACATACATTCGTAATTAATTTTTCACTATTGAAGGTTCTAGCACCAAGATCGTCATACGTATTTACAAAAAAAAAAGAAGGAAAACCAACTGTGGGTGTCTTCCTCTTTTCCTGAAGGCGATAAGAATTGTGAGTATCGAAATAATGAAGGATTGCATTACCTACAAACTTTGTACGCGAGATTACTAGTTTTTGAAAGCCGAGAAAAATTTGCCCAAACTCAATATGTCTGGTCTTGTAAATAACATGACGTTTGATTAATAATAAATCACTATCACAATTTATAAGATTAAAATACATTATTTTTGTTTTTGTTTCGTATGGTGCAATAAAATAATTTGACACAGCAAATGTTTCAGGAAAAACAACGCATATACCGGCAATTTTTTTTTGTTTTTTTTTTATTGCCTTTGTTGGCAGACGAGCATACGGCCCACCTGATGGTGAGTGGTTACCGTCGCCCATGGACTTCAGCAATGCCAGGGGCAGAGCCAAGCCGCTGCCTACCGCTTAATACTCTCCACAAGCCTCGTTTGTAGAAGGACATGTCATAACGCTCGGGAAACACCGTGGAGGGGAGCTCATTCCATAGCCGGGTGGTACGTGGCAAAAAAGATCTCTGGAAACGCACTATGGATGACCGCAGTGGCTCCAGGTAGTATCGATATAAATATAGTATAAATATATAGTATAAATCGATAAAATGATCTTAAATTAAACGGCTTACGCGGTAAGTTTTATTAATACAAATACAACATTATATTGTTAACGTTAACATTACAATTATTTTTTTTTAAATAATTTGTACACATTCGATATTTACATTTATTGCACAATTATTACTATGGAATGCATTAAAAGTACGTAATTATGTAAATAAAACAAGACGAAAGTACATCTAAAACATTGAAACTTCATAACAATATCTTTATACATGATCCTACTGCAAGAGAGGGAATTCAAAATTTTACATTAAGTCTAGCCAAACTAAAACTTTATCTGATAATTAAAGTAATTTATTGATGGGATTAGTTGACATGCGTGAAGTACGTTGATAAGATGAAAAAATAAATTTACTGTTTCAACTAAGAATACCTATTTACATATGTAAATTTCGAAACCATAACGATATATGGCATAGAAATTTAAGACATTATTTAGGACTATATTAATTTATTTTAATCGAAGCTATATTAAATATGATCACAAATGCACTGAAGATATCACTCTACATCAAATATTTTTGTTTTAAACTCGACCAGATCACGAGGGACTCAGGGGCATCCTCAAGCTTTGTCTTCGGGAGACATGAGACTCGTAGTGAATGTTTCTTTTCGTTCTAGAAAAGAAAGCAGAGTTGCAGCCGGGAAGAGAACAGCGGTGCAACGACTGGGAGTGCACCGTCTCACAATGCTGCTTCAACGAAGACAGATCCTTGAAGTTATCTCTACAGCCGCGGCAAGGATACGTTCCGTCTTTATTCAACTGAGGCGCTTCATCTTCAACGCAGTAGTTCAATCTGCGACTCAGAGACGAGGAGTAGCTTTGACAGTTAAAAGCGTTCAAGCTCGGAGGTAAGAATCCTAGAGGCACCGGAGGGAAGCTCGGAAACATACCGAACGGCGAAAAGAGAAATGGGTGATGGGTAAGGACATCACGATTGTTAAAATACTCAGGCAGTTGCATAGGCGGGTAGGGATTGCAAAATGGTATTTGATTTATTTGCGTTTTGTACTTCTCGGTCTCCTTTGCTTTGTAGTAGACTTGTGATTCTACGAACGGTACAGCCCGTTCTTCTTCTTTGAAAGACGCGATCAGCTCCATTTGATCTCGGATTTTGTCAAGAAGCTTGGAACTGTCGTCCGTCACTCTGAAATCGTCTGAAGACAATTTCCTGTGTAATGTTACGTTTCCGCTGTGCTGATCCCGACTTTTTCTCGAGGAGTATGCCGCTCTGCAACCGTCGAAGCTACATTTATACCTGAGCTTCAAATGAGCGGTCTGGTAGTGTGTTTTTAAGACGTACACATTCTGAAATAGCCTTCCGCAGGCGGTACATTTCTTTGGATTGTCGTTGTCAACAGGGATATCGGTTATGCTCACAAAGAAGCCATCGTCAAAATGTCCGTAAATTTGACCTTGTGTTTCTTCGGAAGGACAATCGTAACTGGAGACTGAGGACGATGGGGATCGATCAGAGAAGTCGATTGAATCGTTTGTTGTCAGATTACAAGGTCCTAATGCATTAATGTCATTTTTTTTCGGGATTTCCGGAAATTCGCCTTTAGACAGGCTCTCCAGCCTCTTCAGAGAATTTTCTGAAGAATAATGTTCGTTAGTTGGAGTGCTACTTTTTATTGTCTCGGGCCTTTCAATCTGTTCTTCTTTAACTCGAAGATTTTGAACGTTATACGTCATGTCGGCGGGTTCTTCTTCGACGATTGTAGGCTCCTGTTTAATATGTGTTTTATTGGTTATAGAAGTCTCAGCTTCCTCGGTTCTTCTTTCGTAATGGTGAGGTTCCTTTTTTATCCTTTTCAAATCCAAAACTTTTTCTTCTTCGCTCGGCACTCGATTTTGAGCCAGGTAATCATTTTCACCGGCGTTGTTTTGTAAGCGTAATGGGTTTAAATTTTTGCGTTTTCGCTTTAGAACTTCGGAATGGCTATCGTCTTTCTTGAAATCCGTACTTTCATTATTGTCACTGTTACTGCGTTGGTCGCAATCTGTTTCAGAATCTTCCATACAGTAGGATTTATTCAAATTGGAATAATATCCATTCATGTCGACATGGTCACTCTCTTCATCGTCATCATCGCCAGCAACGACCACAATTCCGTCGTCTTCATCAGATTCGCCTTGGCCTTCCTGGTCTTTGTTCTCGATAGAGTTCATATCACGTCTGACTGTGTGTGATTGGTCAAAGTGTGAGAACCCAACATTCATACTGTTTTTATAGTCTATGGGAATATTTGATGCAAACTGTCTTAGGCCCTGTGGTGGGTTTAAGAGTGTGTATGAACCAAACGGATTCATATGGTTCATCACAGGTGGGACGTTCAAACCAGCTGCGTGAGGTGAAATGAGTACGGAATGAGTTTGTGCGCTTCTGCCGTCGTGAGGAGAAATTTTTCGTCGCAAATGCGGAGAATGCAGTTTTGGATTTGGATTAGCACTGTGTCGATTTCTGGATCTCCTAGAGCTGAACATCATACTGCAACCTTCTACTGTGCATTTATGCATTTCTCTGAGATGCACGGCAGAAAAATGTATTTTCAACGCTCCCTTGTCGCAGAATGTTTTTAAGCATACGTTGCATTGAACTCTCTTCTTACCTGTCGCGGGATTTATGAATTGAGTTCCTAAATTTAAAGGCATTTGTGTTGCGCCCCACTGGCGTTTCGGTGGACCTAGTAGCACGTTTCTCGGATTCTGATTGCTTTCAACATAGGTGGTGTCTTTGCTTAAATTAAGTACACTCTCCTCGTCGTTTCTTGTGTCATCAGGTTTGGATTGGCTAAAGCTGTTTACCGATTTATCTGGTATCTCCACTGGTTTCGTTGAAATTTGAGGTAAAAGGGCTTGTAGTGAAGCGAGTCCCATAGGATTTTGGCTTAGGGCAGCTACCATAGCTGCCGGGTGACTGAATGCGGAAGGCATCGCCATAGGGGGACAAGGTAAATTCGCTTGTAGCGGAAAGTTGAAAAATTGACTTCTCATCAAATCTATTGCTCTGTCAGTAGCATTGACATCGTTCAATTTTCTTGCTTCCTTTTCATTATCTGCCTTTTTACGAAAATCGTATGGTTGCATATTTTGTAAATGATTTAAAGGAGATGTGTTCATCTGACTAGAACTGGAAATTGGACTTGATGATGTGGATAGTTGAACGCTATGGCTGGGTGATACTTCTGCTGAAGATACTTTTTGAGCAGGAGACCGACTTTCGCGAGGAGATGTCCTATTTGGTGCAGGAGATATTCTTTCCTTTTTCACATTTACCGTGTCTTCGGGCGTCGTTCTCCGCGATTCTCTTTCTTGAATGCTTTTGAGGTACTTGTAATGGTGATTCACCTCCATCATGTGTTGTAAATACTTCAGAGAATCATCATTGCAAAGGTCCCTCCCTTGCTGTTCCATCAGCCTTCTGAACTCTGCTTCGAGCTTCAACTGTTCGCTGGGATCAGCGTATTCTGGCTTTCGATCCCTTATTTTGTCGTGAGCTTCGTTCGGGGTTGATGCCAGGCCATTCTTCTTGTAAATTGGTAAGAGCGATGTTTTGTGAAGCGCTCTTGCCTCTTGAAGCTTGAGGATTTGCTGTAGAGCCATGCTGTGTTCTGGACCGTGTCCACTCCATCTTTCCGCACTGGTCGATTGCGTTTCCTGTAACAAAAGAAAAGGACTATTAAAAAAAGTTTTTTTTTAAAATGATTAATAACTAACGGTCTCAACTTCTACTTCAAGCCCTGCATAATCTGTAAAAACATATTTATTTGTCGTTTGCAATCATGGTTATACTGTAAAACACTTATCTCGTTGGCAAATATTTGATTTTTAATTGAACGTAAGTATTAAAATAATATTAGTCATGCTTGTTACGAGTTATTTGCCTTTTCAATGGACACTTAAAGTAATTATTTACGCGTATTTCCACAGCGATTACATCTCTATGGCTGGTTGAACCCATACTTATTTATTGGATGATCGATGTACCAAAGAATGAAGCGGACTGTATTTTAAAATCACAAATGAAATTCCTAATCCCGACATTATACGGTCTAGAATATAACCCTAACCACCGGTTTCATAAATACCTCTTCAAAATAACTATCGGGGCAACACAAAACCACACCTTGCGTTTTCAAAGGCTAATATCAAATTAATTCCAAGAACAGAGAGCAATTGGGTAAAATTGTGTAAAATGACGGTTTCGAGTCGACTCGAGAATAGAAAAGTGGTTCTGTGTCGCGTGTTTGAAACGATTTAATCCGAAAACTAAATTACTATTCATTTGGTAAGCATTCGGGGCGGGCGAGCTGTGTCAAAGTTAAACTCCGGTTAATTCGACCACTCCTCGACCGTCACGTAATATTCCTACCATTACGAAGAACAGGACGGAGACGTGACAGGAAAGAATCGGAAATTAAACGTTTTGAAATGTACAATTAATGTATCTAATACCGTTTGTGATGGAAGTTCAGTGGCTGGTGTGTAATTTGTTATCATTCCGCCGCGGGGCAGAAGTCGCTAGAAAGTCAGAGCTGAATGTTATGTTGCGTCGCACGGCTTTAAATCTAGATAAATTTACAGTTACGTTTAAACTTAGTACAAAATTAAGTAAATTTATTGAACTAACCCACCCTTAGTCTTTGTTTGATCGTTAGATTGATTTGTTGCTTATAGAAAAAAAACCAATACAAGTCATTGCTATACGACTTGTAATACTGGTGGTAAGACCTCTTGAGAGTCCCGGGTACCACCACCCTGCCTATTTCTGCGGTACAGCAGTGATGCGTTTCGGCTTGAAAGGTGGGCAGCCGTTGTAACTCTACTGAGACCTTACAACTTATATCTCAAGGTGGGTTTTTTTTTATTTATTGCCTTTGTAGGCAGACGAGCATACGGCCCACCTGATGGTGAGTGGTTACCGTCGCCCATGGACTTCAGCAATGCCAAGGGCAGAGTCAAGCCGCTGCCTACCGCGCATTTATGTTGTAGACGTCTATGGGCTCCTGTAACGACTTAACACTGTGCTGTGAGCTCGTCCACTCATCTAAGCGATGAAAAAAATTTAAATAAAATTGCTATTTCGTGCAACCCGGCTCAATAAGTGAGGCGACAAACTCAATATACGCTATCAAAACAGTTTGTCACTCGATTATAGCGTGTAAGCGACGGGGTTGCCATATCATTTCTATTTCTGGGGAAAATTAAATTGTCGTTTGCCGACCGCCGCGTCAGGGGCAATTTTACTTTAAGCACGTCAATTATAAAAAAAAAGGAATTTTAACATTTCTAACGAAACAAAATGGATAAACACAGGGATGATAAAGTGTCGTTTAACCAAAATATACGTCTGGGACACGAGATTGTTGAGAAATGATTACGAAACGTTTTAAATGTAATTTTGTTGAGTATGGGATAATGTTTTATGAGTTGAATTAGGATTATTTCTTTGGAATCTGGTGTCTTTGTTTTTTTTTTAAATATAATGTCGTTTTGTAATATGATTATATTTCATTTCTAGTAAATACCATTGCGTGTAATCAAAATTAATTCTTTGTTTGTCTTTGATGCAAAGATGTGTTTAGCTTATACTAGCGAATACCTAACAGTTACAACCTTGCGATCTAATCTTTCAGACCAAAATACATAATTACTTTAAAGTAGAAATAAGCAGAACGGTTGTTTCAGCCTGTGCCCTAATGCCCCACCATTTTGATTACCCTTTACTTTAATGTAACTTGTTTTCATTTATCACTAATAGCTTTGTACAACACAACTCATACAATAACCATAAAGAGGCCAAAATACATATTTTAACATGATCCCAGAACATGAGCGCACATTTACGCCTTAATTTTGCCGAAATTGTGGGAAAAATTCAATTTTGTCGAAAATTATTTCTCATTACAGACAGAGGCACGGCGCTGTGGCTGGCACAACCTGCAATTACTCCATCACATCAGTACACCATAGGTATTTTTTTGGGGTTAGTAAAATAAATCATTTTCGTGGTCACCGTGAGTAAGTACATGCGAGCGTTAAAGTGTTTTACTGCTTCAATTAATTTGTTTTTATTTTTTTTAATTTACTTAAAAAAATTCCTAGGCTTATGATGACCATAACAATTCCGGTAACTAAGCATAAAGAATTCGAATAATGGTTCCGCAGAAAGTAAAATTAAAAACGTTCGCTAGCTTTCGTATTTCAAACGTTAAATTGCGGTGAAACGCCATAACTGTCACTAAATACTGAAGAAAATCAATTACGCTGGCTCAAAAATACATTTCTTTAAATTTAAATGATGTTTTTTTTTTAGTCACGTCCAATCAATGTTTTCATACGACTGTGGGAATTTCGCATGTAATTGTCATCGGTTAGCAAAAAAAAGTCGCAAAAACAAGTCGCGACGTCGCGGGTCAGCGACCTCTATATCTCCGCATATACACTTTTGCTTCGTTACAATAAAGACCGTTTTCGTGTAACACACGAGAAAAAGTTGGTGAACAAGTCCCACGCCTACTGACTGGACCAAACGGACATATTTCATGCTGTTTTGTCCGAAAAAAACATCAAAATGAGTTGTAATTAGACCGGCTAAGGTCGAGTATTGTGTAGCAGTTTAATTATTTTAAAAAAATGTTGCATTTCGCATTTATCGTTTTTCTCCGACGTGCCATACTGTCCGGGGCATGATACATGGAGCAAACTGGTTTGTACAGTCAGTCGTACAAGTGTTACAGCTTATAAATTAACATATTTTTTTTACAATTTTTAAATTTAGTTAGGTAAGTACTGCAATCAGTATTTTTTGTATAGTTATTTTTGAACAAACAACTATTCATTATGATAAACAATAAAACTGCAAACCGACAAAGATTATAGGTAATAAATTATGTAGCAAAAAAGAGTTGTGATGTCAAGTGATTTATGAGTTTTTTCATAAATTATGTCCAGATGTACAAGCCTGTAATTGAACCTCATTGTTAGCGTAGATACGGAGCTCTAGGGCTGCTGTTAGGCAGACACGGAAACCAAAACTTAAAAATAGAACAATGGTCAAGTGAACAATAGAATTTATTATACGTCAGAGGCGGTGCTCCCTACTAATAAAGTCTTCAAATTTTGGTTGCTTTTACGCTCGGCAGAATTTTAAATCAAGACTTTTATAACTAACACCTATTTGCTTCGTATTCATAAATTAAGTTGAAATTTACTGTAGAAAATATTTGGAATACATAGTAAATACTGAGATACTTATTCGACAATACATGTTATGTTAGTATCATCACATATTTCGTAATATTAAAACATAGAAAAATGAAGAAAATGTGATGTTTTTATCGTTTTAAAAATTTTAATTTTCGCGTTAGCGTTTCAAGAATGAAACAAAATGAAAATCTTAGAACGAAAAACGGATGATAGCAAAATAAATACTAAGTTAAAGTCGTTGTGGCTGAAAGGATAAGACGTCCGGTGCATTATGTAGCGATGCACCGGTGTTCGAATCCCGCAGGCGGGTACCAATTTTTCTAATGAAATACGTACCTACTTAACAAATGTTCACGATTGACTTCCACAGTGAAGGGATTATCGTGCAATAAAAATCAAACACACAAAATTGTAATTTGCGTAATTACTAGTAGTAGTACGTCTTGTGAACGCCGTTAAAAGTGTAAAATCTGGAAAAAATATTATACCAAAAAAACTTCTTCACCTATTTAAATGGAGTAAAACTAATTGAACTGGTGGTAGTACCTGTTGTAAGTTCGCACGGGTAGGTACCACTACCTTGCCTATTTCTGCCGTGAAGCAGTAATGCGTTTCGGTTTGAAGGGTGGAGCAGCCGTTGTAACTACACTGAGACCTTAGAACTTATATCTCAAGGTGGGTGGCGCATTTACGTTGTAAATGTCTATGGGCTCCAGTATCCACTTAAAACCAGGTGGGCTGTGAGCTCGTCCACCCATAAAAGCAATAAAAAAAAAAAAAAAAGTTCAATTAAAAACATTGAACTGTTGATGATAATACCAAATGAAATGAACCTTTAATTACAAAGATAAATGTCGCGTATTAAGCATAATTTCGCTTAAACCAAATAAACTTTCACCCCTCGATATGTTATATTATACATAATGGAAAGAAAAGTAGATTTTCCAAAAAAAAAAATTCAAATCAAAAGGATCACCGCGTGATTTTAATTTAAATGATTATAACTGAACATTTTTGTACGCGAGCGTCCGAATTACTACAGTATCATCAATGTATCAAAGTTGGAAACGTCTCACGGAGTCTCACCTTAATAATTACTGGCCTAGGTTGATTTCTATGTGGTATTAGTGCTTATTATCGAACGTAAACTAAGTGCGCTTAATTATACTGATTATAAATTGTGTCACAATGTAACAAGTAAATAGCCAACTTCAAAAATTAAAAGGTGTTCTCGATTCGTCTTTAACTACCTGGCTATTGCTTGTGGTAATATAATTTCTTTTTTTATATCTTAAGTTAGTTAAAATATCATTGCGGTTTTGTTACCATTCCAATATACTAACAATGAAGAGAATTTTTTTATCTGTTTCTTTTTTTATTTTTTTTTATTGCTTAGATGGGTGGACGAGCTCACCTGGTGTTAAGTGGTTACTGGAGCCCATGGACAT